TAGCAAGTACTGCAGGTTAAAAAAGAAAATTAGTAGTCTTAATTTGGAACCTTCTTTAGAAGACCAGATTAACCATCTTTTGGCTGATTCCTCTAGTGAAGATTCTGATAAAGAATCTGAAAAGGATGTTAACCAAATTCAAAATGATGACCAAGCTTCTTCTTCTGACAGTGATGAAACTCCAGAAATCAATGTTTTGACAAACGAACAAGATCTTCTTTTTGAAGCTATAAGCTCTATTTCGGATTCTCAAGATAGAAAAGAATTTTTAAATAAATTCAAAGAGGTTTTAGAAAATAAACCTAAACCTAAAGAATATTTTACTTCAAATAAATTTGACATTACAAATATTTTCAAAAGATTAGAAAAGAATTCTTGTATTAAACCAACCACTATTCAAGATCTCCAGATTGAGATAAATAATCTCAAGAAAGAGATCAGAGAAATCAAAGATCAACAACAAATTTATCAAGTTATTCTTTCTCAGTTAGATGATGATTCTGACATTGAGAAAGTAGAACTTCCTGAAGATAATGATTCTGTAAAGGTTGATTCTGATAATCCAGAAGAAACCTTTATGTGTTTGATCAACAAGGTCAAAATACAAAAATTTTATATTAATATCAGAATCGTTATTGATGATTTTGCTCTTGATACCTTGGCCCTCTTTGATACAGGTGCTGATTCAAACTGTATTTTAGAAGGATTAATTCCTACAAAATATTTTGAAAAAACCTCTGAAAAACTCAGCACTGCTAGTGGTTCAAAGCTGAAAATTAACTACAAACTTTCTAAAGCCGTGATTGAAAATCAAGGGCTTAAGATTGAGACAAATTTTCTTCTTGTAAAAAATTTAAAAAATGAAGTTATTCTAGGAATACCTTTTATAAAAGCTCTTTTCCCTCTACAAATTTCGAAAGATGGTATTTCCACTCGTCATTTGGGAAAACAGATAACCTTCAAATTTTCTAACAGACCATTTACAAAAAATATCAATTCTATCCAAAACAAAATTAATCAAATTAATTTTCTAAAAGAAGAAGTTTCTTTTGCCAACATTGAAAAACAATTACAAGGTCCTTTGCTTCAGAAGAAAATCCAATCCCTTTTAAAAAATATTCAAACTTCCATATGTTCTGACCTACCCAGCGCCTTCTGGAATAGGAAAAAACATATTGTCAGTCTTCCTTATGAGTCAGGTTTTAAGGATAGCCAGATTTCCACTAAGGCCAGACCGCTACAGATGAATGAAGAACTCCTTCATTATTGTCAGAAAGAGATCACAGATCTCTTAGACAAAAATCTTATTAGAAAAAGCAAGAGTCCTTGGTCTTGCTCAGCCTTTTATGTTAATAAACCTGCTGAAATCGAGAGAGGTACTCCCAGACTTGTCATTAATTACAAACCTCTTAATCAAGCCCTCCAGTGGATTAGGCATCCTATCCCCAATAAGAAAGATCTTCTTAACAGACTAAATTCTGCAAAGATCTTTTCAAAGTTCGATATGAAATCCGGATTTTGGCAAATCCAAATTTGTGAAAATGATAGGTACAAAACTGCCTTTACTGTCCCTTTTGGGCATTACGAATGGAACGTTATGCCCTTTGGACTAAAAAATGCTCCTTCTGAATTTCAAAAAATTATGAATGACATTTTTAATCCTTATTCAAAATTCGTCATTGTCTATATTGATGATGTTCTAATTTTTTCTCAATCCATTGATCAACATTTCAAACATATAAATGTTTTTATCAATGTCATTAAACAAAACGGTCTTGCCGTTTCTAAGTCAAAAATTAGTCTCTTCCAAACCAATATTAGATTCCTTGGTCATAATATCCACCAAGGAACTATCATTCCTATCAGCAGGTCCATTGATTTTGCTGATAAATTTCCTGACAGGATCCCTAACAAAACCCAATTACAAAGGTTTTTAGGATGCCTCAATTATGTAGGAGATTTTATTCCTCACTTAAATAACATTATCAAGCCATTACATGATCGGCTTAAGAAAAATCCTCCCTCTTGGACTGACGTTCATACCAACGTTGTCAAAGAAATCAAAAATAGAGTCAAAAAAAATAAATTGCTTATATCTTCCAATTCCTCAAGCCTTCAAAGTTGTTGAAACCGATGCCTCAGACATAGGTTACGGAGGTATCCTCAAACAAAAAATTGAGTCACATGAGCATATCATTGCATATACTTCTAAACATTGGAATTCTGCACAACAGAATTATTCTACTGTTAAAAAAGAAGTTTTAGCAATTGTTTTATGTGTTTCAAAATTTCAATCTGATTTATTAAATCAAAAATTTCTTATCAGAGTAGACTGCAAGTCTGCTAAAGAAATTTTACAAAAAGATGTAAAAAACCTTGCCTCAAAACAAATCTTTGCAAGATGGCAAGCAATTTTAAGTGTTTTCGATTTTGATATCGAATATCTCAAAGGCACTTCAAACTCTCTTCCTGACTACCTTACCCGTGAATATTTATAGGATAAGTAAGATGCCTAGAAAGGCAACCACCCCCTCCAGAGGAGGAACTACCAGAGGTGGCAGAGTCAGGCTAGCCCTGACATTAAATAAATCAAAACCACAATCTGCTTCGGCAGATTCAAAATCTTCTTCTTCCGGGTCATCTACCCCCATTGAGTCATCGACTCAAAAAGCAATCCAAATTGTTGAGTCATCGACACAACAATCTGGAATCCCAAAAGAATCCTCCAAAAAGACTGATTCTATTGTCAAAACCATAAAACAAACCAAAGCAGATTATGCTCTCCCAATAAGTACACTCTTAGCTGTCCAACAAGGAAGTCTAAGTAGCCTACCGAGAAAATCATGGGCTGATATTGCCTCTGAAGAAGACATGGAAATAGATTTAGCAAGCCTAAATACCATACTCCAGTCTTTTAATCAAACCCAGAAAACAATAACCAATCCTAGTAAAACAGAAGGAACCCTTGACCTTCAAAAGGGAAAACAAAAATCTACAAATCCAAATCATTATGTAGCCAAAGGAAAATTCTTCTCAGTCATACAAATGGAACCTGAGTTTTGGGACAAAAACCCATACAAGGCAATTACCAAAGTCTTCCCACCAGGATTTCATTTCAGACCTTATCAGGCTAATAAAACCAGGCAATTCTATGAATTTATCTTAGTAGATTCAGATTCTGTTGCCATTAAACACTACAAAGATCAAAAAGATCCTTCAATCACAACCCATTCGACAATCCAGATCTTAAAAGTCTTAACTCCAAAGGCTTTTGGGAAAAATCTTAACTCTTATAAAAAATTTTCCCAACCATTTGACCCAGTAGGTTATAATTATTGGGATTATATTGATGCGTGGACAAGAACTTTCTGGTTCCAAAATAAACTTAACCGACATTCTTGGTTAATATATTTTAAAAAGAATCAGAATTATGACTTTCCAAATTGGTTTCTCCAATGGTGGGACTATTTTGGACCAATTGAAGAAATCCTTCCCACACCTGTCAAAGAAGGATACAAAATTTACAAAGGCAGATATCTGCGAGAATCAAGAATTCCAGCAGATCTTAAATATTTCTCTGACTTTGCCTTAGCATGGGTATTCTCATGGCAATACAGATATGGCAAGGCAGAAAATGAAGACACTCTCCCTTTGTTACACAGGTATTCCTTTGTAAAATGGTGGAATCAATTCAATGCGGAACAGACCAGAAGGAGTTGCTGAATATTTTGGGAAAAATCCCAAATTATTAAATCTAGCAGACCCAGCAACATTTCAATTCCTTAATCAGAAATCCAAAATTGCAGCATTCTTATCAGGATGCGATACCAAAGAAAAAATGAAGAAAAATCTACAAGATGTTCTTCTGCTATTGCAAAGCCAAGAAGAAGGAGAATCTTCTAACCAAGATGCCAATATTGAAGAAAATCAAAATGAAGATGATTGTTTCGGCATCGACATCCAAGATCTTTAGAAACCGGTACTATAGAAAATAGTTCCAGTCACCAACCGGAACTGTAGAAATAGTATTTTAAAATTTTTCTATATAAGGAGGCCTCGACCATATTGTGAGGTACCCTTTCATTTAGCAAGTTAAGAGAGATTTAAGAAAGAGAAGCTCTGAGAGACATTATCCTTTGTAAGCTTTCCTCTTTGAGATCTTTTCAATAAAATTTGCTGTTTCAAGTTATTTTTCTCTCTTCTCCCTCTTAGCCGGTCCTGTTCGGACTACTGTCGCTCCGGCTTTCTTCTCTTCTCCCTTCACTAGATCTGTGTTGGTTATACCACCGTTCTAGTTTCTTATGCATTAAATTTTCCATATACATACTGCACTTTTAATTTCTGCACATCATTTAGTAGTCCTGCTACTGCCTACTTTCCTTTCAATCTTTTAAATTGTTTTTTGTTCCATATATATATATATATATATATATATATATATATATATATATATATATATATATATATATATATCGTTATTCAAAAGCAAAATAGAAAGAAAAAAATGCTAAATTAATATAGTATTTAATTTCACCACTTATGATGTAGACGTGGTATCATGAACGTTAGATGTGGTATTGCTGCTCAAACAAGAAATGAAAATAAAATTTATTACGGATATTGATTGCTTTATTCTTAGTAATTTTAAAAATAAAGAAGTATTTAATTTTCTTAAAAATAAATAAATGCACTGAAAATGTATTAAAGAACGTGTTTAAAAGTATTTTTTATTGAATAATTACTATCCATATTTAATATATAAAATATTATTTATACGAAATAAGGATAAATTTTTAAGAAGTATCAACTTAAAATTAAGTTCACTAATTTTCTGATTATTATGCTTAAAAATATACTATACTTTGAGAGTTTAAAAAAATTTATAATAGAAGATCGATAAGTAGTTAGTAAAAAAGACATAATTATATAACTTCTTGTATTTTATTTTTGCCTTTAGCATGTAGACGAATAATGACATGTTCCATATGGACAAAGTCTTATTACCATGCATATTCCTTCACCCAATAGTCTTCAAACTCAAAAAAAAAATAAGCTCCGTCTGGTCTAATACGTCGCAAACATTGTGAAGCACATCTTCTACCATCATTTATGGTACTGTAAATTTCAAAGCTGTGTTGCTGATTGTTCCATTTCAGGGAGCACCAGAAGAGAGTAGTGTCAATAACGTTATCTCGGAAGGACCATTCTTGGTAGTTTCCGTTCTGAAGAACATGAAGGCCAAGATCGTCGTCCTTGGATCGACAATGAAGATAGAGAACAACGCCATTACCCAATTCATTTTTTACAAGCACATGTTTCGTTCCGCCATTTTCGTTTTGAACATGCACAGGAATTATGAGTGTATCTGTTGACATAATCAGTACTAAAGCAATTGTGGTCAAGGCCTTCAACATGTTTGTGAGATGATAGTTAACGAAGCTCATAATCTATTTCACTTCCACACTATACAAAGTCACGTTGTGTGCTGCACTGCACAATTGCGAATTAAAAAGACACCACACCGCTAAAACGTCATAGTTACGTGTAAATATACTTTACATCGTTTCCCCAAACCCTGCCCATATTCCGGAGGCTTTTAAAACATTCCTTGGTAAAAATATATAGCTTTTTATATAATTTTGGGTGTTGTTTTATTTTATTTCTTCCATTTTTATTTTTTCTCTTTTGATCTTAATTTTTTTAAATGCAACGCTTTTAATTTTTAACAATTGACCTCTATGTTATAAAGAAGTGAGAAGCTATTTAACTACAGTTAGTCACGGGTATTTTTTTAATATTAAAATTAACTAAAAATAATATTTAAATCATTTTTTGTAATTTTATTTAACTTTTACGTACTTTTTTGTTAAAAATTATTACTTCATTTTTGTTATCTTATATAAAATTCTAAATTTTTAATTACCTTACATTTTGTGGTTACAAAGTTATATTAAAATATTTTAACAAAATAAAAATAAAAACAAATTTATTATATATATAATTATTTTAAAATTTTATAAATTATTAATATATATATTTTTTAAATAAAATACTTTTGGATTTCACAATGTGATTAATTACAAATTATCGTGCATCATTTTTTTCAATAAACCCTAGTAAAAGGACCAAAACCAACAATTCGAAAACGTAGAGGCTTATATGCTTTAAGTACTGCAATTATTTAAGATTTTAATTTTAGTTTTTCAAGAAATTAATTATTTTGTGTTATGTTTTTTTTCTATTCACTTGAATAAGTAGATAAATTTTTTTAAAAAATAATTTTTATTTTCACATATTTTCATATTAGAAATACCTATATAATTGATTTATTTTACATTTAGATTCAATTTTTACATAAGCATAAATTTAGTTAATAATATAAATAAAATTTATAAATTATTTTAGATATTTAAGTAGTATTTTTTTTATAAAAGAAGCATTGGTATCTCTAAAATGTAGTAAGAACTAAACAACATATAAAAATATTATCGATAATTATTGTGTAACATTCTTAAGAAATTTAAGACATATAAAAAGTATTTTTAATATCTTCAGAAAAACATAATTCCTATGAATCATAATTCTCAAGAAACATAATTTTCAAAACTAAAAAAAAAAATCATTTTCCAAATTAACACTCTAAATTTTTTTAATAGCAAATGACAAAACAGAGAGATATCATAAACTATGTTTAGATTTAAGAATATTAAAAAAATACAATTTTATTTTTATACAATAAAAAAATTATATCTTTTATAAAAGTCTTGGATTTTCACCCATTTTATAGAAATGTTCTCTTAAAAAGAATTAAATTAAAAAATATTATCAGAATTTTAGTTTTTTTTAAAAAAAATTAAAGCAATTTATACCAAACATAACAATTCAACGTTCTCAACTTAAAATTTAAAAAATCTCACTGTGTCAAAGTGGGGAATTTTCATTTAACTTGGGAAATAATTTTTTTATAAATCTCACTATACTTTTCCCCCCTTTTCTCAGTCTAAACCAACAAATTAATTTTTAGGACAATCTTGTTTGAACTAAAAATATTTATAGTATAATTAGACTAGTTTTCTTCTAATACTTTTTTTCCACACAAAATTCAAACTTGAGGTCTTACTTCAGAAAATTAAACATGTAGCACTTGAATAAAATATCTTTCTATACTTTTACCTCCTATTCAATAAAATGATTGTTATATATACATTTAATACATAAATTTTATCTATGCGAAGTAAAAAAGAAAATTGAATAAGCATCTCCAAGGTATCTGCAACTCATTTCTTGAATAAGAGTTTGCTTACCTTTCTATTACCATCTACAAACGCATAATAATATATTAACAGAGAAAGTTTACAACAGTAGGAGATAGAGAAATAAACAAATGATGTTTGGGTGAATGATAAGAATATTGACCATGTAAATTGACTATGAGAGTATTTGCTGCAATAATCATCACTAACACAGCAAATGTTGACAAGGCCTTCAACATGTTTGTAGGATGATAATAGACCAAATTCATCAACTGTTTGCACATTGTAAACCATCCCTTTTGGCACTATAAATTTCAAAGCTGCGTGGCTGATTGTTCCATCACGCGGAGCACCAGAAGAGAGTAGATAGACCAATGTTATCTGGGAAGGACCATTGTTGGCAGTTTCCATTCTGAAGAACATGCAAGCCAAGATCATCATCCCTTGATCGACAATGGATATAGAGAACAACGCCCTCACCCAAGTCATTCTGAACACGCACAATTTTTCTCCCCTCAGAAAAACCTTGCACAGGGACTATGAGTGTGTCTGCTGTAATAATCATCATTAAAAAAGCAACTGTGTCCAAGGGCTTCAACATGTTTTTTAGATAATAATAAACTGAGCTTAGCATCTGTTTTCACTCCCGCACTCTACAATGTCACATTTACAATTGCAACTTTAAAGGACACCACACCGCTCAAACGTCATTTCCCCCAATTTTTGCCCATCTTCTGGAGGCATTTCAATTTCCAAGAGAGAACGCCAAAAGAAACCATAATAATCTATAAAATATTATTTGTCTCAAATAAGAAGAAAAATTAAATTTGAATGAGCAACTCCAAGGTATCTGTGTCGTCATTTATTGATTAAGAGTTCATTAATCTTCCTATTACCATATACATGCGTGTGAGAATATATTATATTTTGAGTTTAGTGAAAGTTTATAAATAATTGGCCGGAAAAAAAAAAGAAAATATATCACTCGTTATTTTAAAACATGAATTGTGAATATAAACAATTAACATTATTGGGAAATTGAAATGTGATCAAATAAAGGAAAATATCCTTTATTAGTAAAATAGATGGAATTACATTTGTTATAGTTCTTCATTCTCAGGCGAATGATTATTACCCTTATTTTCCTTTAGCATATACACGAATATGGGGGCATAGCTTTTAGGCAAGTCCATTTACCAGGAGTATCTTCGGACCCAAGTCTTTTTGTACTCATCATAAAAATAGGCTCCATCTTTTCTAATACTTCGCCAGCATTGGGATCCACACTGTGAATCATCGGTTTTGGCACTGTAAATTTCAAAGCTAACTTCGGCGACGCCATCAAATTGGAATTTGCACCAAAAGAGAGTAGTACCACCAATGTTATCATGGAAGGACCATTGTTGATAGGTTTGAGTGGCAAGAACATGCAAGCCAAGATCATTGTCCTTAGATCGACAATGGAGATAAAGAAGAGTGCCACCATCCAAATCATTTTGAACACGCACAGTTTTCTTCCCACTGGGAAAACCTTCAACAGGGACTACGAGTGTGTTTGCTAAAATAATGATCAATGATAAAGCAACTGTGACCAAGGCCTTGAACATGTTTGTGAGATAATAACAAACCAAGTTCATACTCAGTTTTCACTCCCAGGATATGCAAAATCACAGTGTGCTGCACTGTAGAAATGCAATACGCTGCCAAAAGTCGCAGTTACATATAAATGTGGTTTCCCTCAAACTTTGCCCATCTTTCGGAGGCATTTAAATTGTATGACGAAAAGTTAAAAGAAGATATGGGGGGCTCTTTTAATTTTTTTTTTTCTTTCTAAATATATAGGTTTGCCGATTTTGTTTGTTTAATTATATTTTTGATTTTATAGTTTTGTGACTTTTTATTTTAGTTCTTCCAATTTTTATGGTTTTGATCCCAATTTTTTTCTTCTAAATTCAGCACTTTTGATAGTTGGTGACTTTTAAATAATGATGTAGGAAACTAAAAAATCATGTCATGCCATTTTTTTTGGGTCTACATTAGTGAAAGAGGCCAAAATCTCTATATCTTTGTTAGATTTTAAATTTAGTCTTTAAAAGAATTTAGTTTTAATTTTTAATTTTCTTAAATTCAATATTTTTATCTCTAATAATAATGTGGCATAATTAAAAAAACACACTTGACAGTTTCTTAAGTAGTTATGTCATTACTATGATCAAAAGTATTTTTAAATTAAAAACTAAAAACTAAACCAAATTAAAATCAAAGTCAAAATCTTACAGGACTAGTATATTTAAGCCAAATATAAAAAGCAAAATAAAAAGTTCAGAGACTAAAAACCAAAACTCAAGAAAATATTTAAAGAAAATATATTTAGTTCTTATATTTTATAATATTTTGAATTTTCATTATTTGAAATTACGATTTTATCATTTGAAATCGCACCGAATGAGGAATTCGATTTCACTCTCAAAATCGTTTTGAAAACACGGCTTTATTATTTGACATTTGTATTTGTACGAAAAATGAATATATAAATAAAAAAATGTTTTATATTTGTAATGGCAAAAGCACGAATATAAGAATGGGTTACTTTATCTTTTAAATTGAAAGTAGAATTTAAAAAGTAATCGTCTTGAAAAAACAATTTTTAGATTGTCCTAAGTTCATACAGTTTTTAGTAGATAAATAGAGAAAAAAGAAAGAAAACAATGCACACGTATTTATGTTTACAAAGACAGAATAAAAAATACTATAGATTTTTAAAATATTCCTTGTTATATATATATATATATATTAAACATACTTTTGCCTCAACAATCTGGGAATTTTTTTTTCTTTTGGTCTCAATTTTTTCTAAAGGCAACATTTTTTATTTTTAATAATTAACTTTTATATTATATGAAAGTTTTTTTTTTTTTTTTACAGTTAGACAACTATTTGTATATTCCAGAATCAAAATCAACTAATAATAATAATAATATATAAACTGCATACTTTCTTGTTGAAACTCTTTTTATTTTTATTTATTTTTTATATTATTTTATTTTAAATTTTTAAAATAAAAATTATTACTTCATTTTTTATTATTTTATATTTTTTTAATATTTATATTTATAAAAATATTATTACTGTATATTTCGTAGTTACAAGTTAAAATAATTTTTTTTAAAAAAATAAGTTTATTATGCATGCATATATAAATTATACATTGCAGATGTTGCTAACTAGTTATTAAATAATGATATGATTAATTACAAAGTTATCATTCATCAAAAAATAAAATAAAAATTGGACTCACCATTTAAAGAACCGAAACCAAAAAGTCTTGAAAATGTAGAAGCTACGTTTTTTTTTAATTTTGATTTTAGTCTTTCACGAAATTAATTATTTTGTTTTTATTTAACTAAATAGATTTTTTTTTAAAAAGAGTATTTATCACATATTTTTATATTATAAATATCTATATAACTATTTTATTTTTTAAATAAGTATAAATTTAGTTAATAATATAAATAAAATTTATCAATTATCATAATGACTAAAAGAATTTTTTTAAAAAGAATAATTAATATTCTTAAAAAATAATATTTGAACCAAAGAACGTGTCAAAACATAATCAATCATTATTGAATGACATTCCTAAAAATATTTAATACATATGAAAGTGAGTTGGGAACATAAACAAATGACAATGGAAAAATAAAAACGTGATCAAACAAAGGGAAATATGCTTTATTGGTAAAATAGATAGATAACTAGATGTATTAAATAACTCATCCAATAATTGGGCCATTTCACGGGAATTATTATTAGTTTATTTATTTTTCCCGTTAGCATATATACAAACAATAGCTTAAAGCTTTTATAAGTGTCGATTACCATTTACCAGGAGTACCTCTTCATCCATAAGTCATGGACTTCCATATAAAAATAAGCTCCATCTGGTCTAATACTTCTCCAGCATTTGGAAGAACAAGACAAATTATCCCTTGCTGTACTATAAATTTCGAAGCTGTGTTGCTCGTAGTTCCATTGCATGGAGCACCAAAAGAGAGTAGTGCCACCAAAGTTATCTCGGAAGGACCATTCTTGGTAGTTTCTGTAGGGAAGAACATGCAGACCAAGATCATCGTCCTTGGATTTACAATGGAGATAGAGAACAATGCCGCTACCCAAATCATTTTGAACACGCACGGTGTTCTTCTGAGCAAACACATTTTGACCATGTACAGGGACTGTGAGTGTATATGCCGCAATAATCATCACTAATACACCAAATGTTGCCAAGCACTTCAACATGTTTGTAGGATAACAGTACACCAAATTCATGGTCTATTTTCACCTCCCAATGTGCCCCACTTCTCTGTACAATCGCCACTTAAAAAGACACCAAAAACAGAAAAGTCTTACGTAGAATACTTAATGTTATTGATGGAGTGTGACAAAAATGAGTCCGGATCCTCTGCATCACATCTATCTTGGACCCGGATTCATTTGTAGATAAAAGCAAGAAAACAATGGACACATATTTATACTCATCCTTAAATAGCGGATATGTCTAGTCCTTGTCCTTGCTGCCAATATACTTTACTGAGACGGTGCAAGAAAAATACGAACATAATTTAATTTCTATTTTTAAAACTATATTTTTATTACTCTCTCTGTACTCTAATTTTCGGTTTTTTTTTTTTTAATGAAACCCCTTCAAGTTTTTTTCATCTGTTTTTTAAGAAAAAAAATATATAATTTTTTCAAGATGTAAAATCTAATTAAGACAGAGTAAGAAAAATGAATTTTATTTTCTTATTAAATATATTTCAATAAATGCTCAAACAAAAATACATTAAAGATAACTACAACAAAGTTAACGTAATTTGTCAATGAATAATATTTAATTTAATGTTTTATTCTTTTTATCTATATTTAAAATATGATTTGTTTACACTAGCGTAAGTCTAAAATATTTTATTTAATTTAAATTTTTTATTTAAATTATATCTAATAAGTTATAATTTATTACTTTATTAACCATTAAATATAAGTTAAATTATCAAATGTAAGATTTTTAAACCTATACTAATATGAGAAAATTCTTCCTTCTTTATTAATAGATATTTGTACAAGACTCTTGAGTAATTAAAGGTTTCTATTTTAACCACTTTAAAAAAATAATGTACTTTACTATGGGGATATTTTTAGTTAATTTTATAACTTTTGTACATTCTAAGGCAAATTGCTAATAATTATTTATCTCCACCCCTAAATTTTGTTATCTATTCAAATTATAGGATTGAACCATCTTAATAATAACAAAATACATTTTTCTCGTTTTATCTTATTTTATTTATAAAAAATTCTATCAGTTATTTTTATAATTTTTAATTTTCAATTTATTGAAACAAAAAATTAAAACATATTTATTGATTAAATAATATTTCAATAAACTATTTATCACTGATTTATCGTAATTCTTTGAGAAATAATCTTAAAAAAGAATTTTATTAATCTGTTTCTATTAGGGAAACACTAGTCTTCAAGTCTCTGCTCTGAAACGGTGATGTCCTTCTAACTGTTGCTGACGTGGGGAGAGTACCTGCAAAAGACACTCCGATGCTGAAGTCAGGATTCAATTTTGAGCAATAAATACTATTTAATAATGAAAAGTCAACTCTTTACCTATATTTCCTACCTTCATTTTATAGATATTATTATAGGCTAATGAGCCTGCTGAGCTAACCTTGATTTTGGCCCTTTACTTAAAGTAAATAATGTTTTGATTATTACCTTTAATTGGGTTAATTACCTTTTAATCCTGACAAAAGGTATTCGGCCAAACTGGGCCGAATAGGTACTCAGTTTCATTTTCCTATATGTAGGTCCGCGCAGTTTCCTATCCAGTACACTACTCCGGTACGAGGTAAGAGCTTAATATACAAGTATCAGGCATATGTAGATGAGGGGGTATTCGGTCTTAGGAATGTAAGAAGGTCGAATAGGGTATTCGGTTAAGGCGTAGGAAAGTATTTGGTGAAGTGGAGTGCATACCGAAGGAGTATTCAGTTTTTCAAAAAAGTGGCATAGACTGAGGAGGTGGAAAATAAAAATAAAAATAAATAATAAATAATGAAAAAAGATCATTCTAGAACTTCGAGTTTTTAGGGTTCAGGATTTTTTTAGGGTTTTCTTGATGTGTGTGTACGAAACAAAAGGGTGTTTAATCTCAACCGTTTGATTTGAAAGAGATCTGTCGGTTTGGAAAGGATGCAACCCTTCATATGTCTGAGGGCCCTAAACCTTATAAATACATGGTGGTCCAGGTCTTTTGTTATCCACTTTTTCTCTGAGCCGAGAAGTATATACTGTTGCTCCAAATTGAAGGGTATTCAAATTTCCTCTCTTTCTTCCGAACCGACTACCTGTGAGGTACGTTTAGTTTTCTTTTCTTTCCCTTCCTTATTTTACCATGGTCTAATCCTTAGAATGGGAGGACTCGTTGTCGAACTCATCTAGGCCGACTAGTATCGATGGTCAGAATGCTGAGAGAACCGAGAGGGATTGAATTTTCTTCAAGACCGAGTGGGGTAAATGAAGAAGTAGAGACTCACTGTAGAGAATGTAGTGACGAAGTCGAATCATCTGAGTCAACTGATTCTGATTCTTCTGAGCTCCTACCAAGCATGAGCCCTCCTAGGGAAAACCAGTATTCCCTCCCTGTACAGTTCCTGGATACGATTGGGTACATGGTAAAGTAGCCGCCTACTTTTCTCGGTTTAGAAAAAATAAGAGTCTTCAATCTTTTGTTGATCATTATGAAATTTCATTATGGGAACCTTTCGATCCCTACCCCATATCCATCAACCCTTGCCGAGGAGAGAAAACCGGGAACCCTATTCTTGTTTTTCTAGGGGGTGCCAGGATGGCCGACACTTTCTTTGTGTATGAATATATGTTTAGAGAATTAGGTATAAGGCTACCCTTTGACGACTTCCAAATGGGAGTTTTGAGGGTTTTAAATGTAGCACCGACACAACTTCATCCGAATGGGTGGGCGGCTATCCAAGCTTTTATAGTACTTTGTAAATTTCATTATATAGAACCTAGTGTAGGCTTATTTCTTCATTTCTTCTGTACTCGTCCATCAGACTTAGCAAGGTGGATATCTTTAATAAGGCAACCGAAATTGCCACTATTCAAGCCTTACGCTTCATCTTTCAAGGGTTTCAAGACCGGCTACTTCAAAGTAACCGTCCATCCTGTAGGTAGAAATTTTTTCTTTTATACTGAAAACAATCCCCTCTTTCCCTTTCATTGGACCCGAGTGCCTCGCTGGTACAACTGGATTCCTGAGGACCTGTTGTCGGCCAGAGAGTTATCGGCTTTGGATTACTTGATTTCTCTTCCCCGAGAGCTTCCTGCTTGACACATACTTCTAGTGTTAAAATCTCCTCATCCTCGTCTGGACATGGATGGTATATTTCGTCCTTATGATTTAGTTTTTTTAACCAAGTTGTATTGATTTAACTTTTTATTTTTATTGTAAGTCTGATGACTCAATGTGGTGTTAACATGCCAACATATCGTCAAACCCTGAAAACCAGGACCCCTGAAAACACACCCATTGAGGAGCACCGAAACCCTCAACTTGACCATATGCCAGAGGTAACCGGGCCTCATCCTCCTCCCCGAGACCTTGCCATTACAGAGAGTCAGCCCAAGAGGCGCAGAGAAAAGGGGAAGGAAAAGGAAAAAGGCAAAGAGAAAGAGGTCGAGAGGAAGAAAAAGAGAAAGCATTCCTATTCGGGTAGACCGAGTGGTTTAGAGGGGGCACGAAGTCAAGCTCGAGGTGACCTGATAGTTGGGGTTGGAAGCTCTTCAAACTCTGCTATTCCCCCAGCTATCTTATACGACACCTTCCTCGTCCCAGGGGTACATGCTGGACGAGTAGTTGCCCCTGACTTGCTTTTCAATGCAGGAAAGAAAGCGGTCAGCAACCTAGACCTCGAGTCTCTGTGGCAATCCTACGCGGAGCTTCAAATCCGATCCATGATAATGCTCTAAAGATTACCTCTGGAGCCCACACTCGAGGTGAAGAGGGTGCAAAACGAGTACTCCTCCTCTCAGCAAGCTTTAACGGATAATGAAGAGATTTGGCTGAATCTTGCTAAGACTAATAAAGCTTTGGAGGCCGAGGTTGTTCAATACAAAGAACACTATCATATAGTGGAGAATCGGCTCCAGGCTACCGAGCAAGCCCTAAGGGCTAAGGAGGAGGAAATAGAGGCTCTGAGGGTGAAGTATTTGGGAATGGAGGAGGCCCTAAGGGCCAAATTTTTTGAAATGGAAGAGGCATTGGCTCTTGAAAGGCAAAAAGCTGATGCCGAACTGAAGGCCTTTTCTAACAAGTGTTTGGTCCAAGTTGCTATCGAACACGAGTCGGGCTTTAACTATGTCGTTCGTCAATGTTATGGTTTCTGCCAAGTGCCAGCCGACTTTCGTTTTGATCTTACCAAAGAATTTTTCGGTGGCAAGTTTTTACCATATAATGAAGTGGATGATAATGTAGAGTCTGACACCAAACTCCCCTGCCGAGTAGAAGTTAATAACAATGCTCTCGATCCTGAGACCCCTAATCCTGACGCCCCTGGTCCTGATGCTGGAGAGGAAGGAAATTAGAAATAGGTTTTTGATTTTCTTTGTATTCATGAGCCGATAGCGCCCCAATTTTGTAACCCTTTCAAACATGAATACAGGTTCAATTCTTTTCTTGTTATCTTCTAAGTACCTTTATATGAAAAACAACCAAACCGAATAGTTATGAAATCTCCTTAACACTGAATATTTTTGTTTGTCTCATCCTTGGCCGAGTAGGGGTACTTGGAAGGGAATTAATTAATTCAACCTTAGCCAAGTAAAAGTACTTGGGAGGGAATTGTAATAATGATTCATCCTTAGCCAAGTAGGGGTACTCGGAAGGGAATTAATCTAACCTTAGCCAAGTGGAGATACTTGGGAGTGAATTTAAACAATGATTCATCCTTGGCCGAGTTGGGGTACTCGGGAGGGAATTAATTAATTCAACTTTAGCCAAGTAAAAGTACTTGGGAGGGAATTGTAATAATGATTCGTCCTTGGCTGAGTAGGAGTACTCGGGAGAGAATTAATTAATTCAACCTTAACCAAATAAAAGTACTTGAGAGGGAATTGTAATAATAATTCATCCTTGGCCGAGTAAGGGTACTCAGGAGGGAATTAATTAATTCAACCTTAGGCAAGTAAAAGTACTTAGGAGGGAATTGTAATAATGATTCGTCCTTGGCCGAGTAGGAGTA